TATATATATATATATATATAAATCAATTTATTTTACTTTTTTAATTTGCATTATATCAATATTTTCCTTTTTCTCTCAATAATTTAAAATTTAGTGACGATAAATAATATCAATTGATCAATATTTATTAATTTACATTGGCTTCGAACTTACAAAATGCAACCTCTCTCGATACGTGTGTGTATATATATATATATATCCCATCAATGTAATAATTATAATATGAATGATAGTAAATAACATTTATTGATTAGTATTTAAAAATATTTATTTATTGATTTGTACTTTGAAATTTGTATTAATGCATGTTTAAGCCCCAAAATACATATCCACAATTTTGTAAATGTGTAATCGTTACACTTTTTAATTAATTAAATGGCAAATTGCATGAAAAAGTAACGTATTTTAACTTGATTCCTATTTTGAGTAACGTACTTTACTTTCAAAATTTTATTTTGGTATATAGGATGTAAAGTTTAAACATTTAAGTACTCGGGTAACCAGTTGAAACATTAAACGATTACCATGTTGATGTGGCGAGTGATATGGTATCAACTCAGTATTATTTGCTGAAGCATTAACCAGATACCACGTCACTCGCCACATCAACATGATAACCGATTAATGCATGTTTCAACTGGTTACCCAAGTACTTAAATGTTTAAAATTTTACATCTTAGGTACCAAAATGGAAGTTTTTAAAATATGTTATCCAAAATAAGAATCAAGTTAAAGTACATTACTTTTTCATGCAATTTGCCATTAACTAAATGACAGTTTTATCATTCATAATTGAGAGATTAATGAATTCTATATCTCATAATTAAGACTAGAGTTGAAAAGTAGACATTACTTTTTGAAAGTGAACACTTACTTTGGGACAAATTAAAATAGAAACATAGACACTTATTTTGAGACGGACGGAGTATTTGTTTTTGTTATTTGTAGATATCATTCGTCTTCTAACAATGAATTATTTTTTATAATAATTTATATGTATTAATAATCGGTTAATATCTTATCATATTATATATAGACTAAGTTTATATTTACCATATTTTTTGTATATATAATTAGTTACTGTGCGATTTAGACTTACACTTATTTATTTTTTTTAATAAAAATCAGTAGAGGCATCATCCTCTTCTTAAAAAGAAATAAACTTCATAATCAATCAGACAAACAATGCATAAGTTATCCACACCCCTGTTCCTACTATTACTCATTTTATTTAATTTTACAACTTTATTCTTAAACAAATCTCTCTCTCTCTCTCTCTCTCTCTCTCTCTCTCTATATATATATATATATATATAATTCACTAATTATATTTTATTAGTTTTTTTCGAATTATTTGAATATATTTGTTGATGATTCTATTAACAACTAACATGTATTTATTTTCTATTAACAACTAACATGTATTTATTTAGACAATATTCGCATCATTAATCAAGGTACTCATATTATCGTGCAACGCACGATACCCACACTAGTTGATTTTTAAACATATATGTCACAAGTATAAATAATATTATGTATTTATTATGAATATAATTTATGATAAATATTTATTTAAAAACAATTAAAATATAAATAATAAATTATTTAAGTATTTTGTAATGCAAAATGAGTTGGAGACTAGCTACTATGAACCCAAATAGCCATCTTTTGATCAGTAACTACGCACCCATCCATCATGGGCCCACACCCACACATATTCACGTGCAGGGGGACAGTCACGTGCAGGGGACAGTCACGCACAAACAAACATAAGACGTGTTGAACTGCAATTCAATGTGGAAATTTTTATTTTTAAAAAGCCACCATCTTTTTATTCTTCCAAATTTACTCTTTTTACTTTTAAATCATCCATTTTTTCCACGAATGCGTTATTCCCATTATTCATTTTCTCCTACAAATATAATATAATATATTTTTACCATTCCACTTTTCTTGATATCAGAATAATATGTTTTATTGAATTAAATGGTCTCACATGATTCCAGATCTATATATTTTATTGAATTAAAAGAAAAAACACTGACCATCCAATAAAATGGAATAAGTTGAAGCTTTTACAAGCACAAGTTATATCAACGTTCAAAGCATATTTGGTGAATGTTATTAATATGGAAATATAAAATCCAAGACACAACACCAACAATCTTTATTTCCTTCCCTTCAACTTCAACATCCATTTCTTCTAATGTTCGATCATCAAACCAACCCAATAAATCTCACACTACATAGCATCTAAAAAGAACAAGATGTATGCAAGATTTGCTGAGAGATTGTATACATCTCCCAAGAAGTCAATAAAATAGATATGGTCATAATCATGGGACCAGCAGAAGGCATATCTTCACATGAACACATCATGTAAAAAGCAAATAATGTACAAAGGAAGAGACTTTGCATGCATTTTGAGAATGGGCCTCTGTGTCAAGATTTGACACCAGATCATCACTTCAGTCTTTGCAAAACTTGACCTAAATGGTAACAGAAATTTGGTTCAAGATTGCCCACAAACATCTCTTTTAATGGCAAAAAGTCTAAAGCTTTAGGCAAGTTTGATGTTATATCTGTTTTGTTGTTTAGTGGGATAACCAGCCAGCTCCCATCTTCCACGTTCTATCCATATCTGGGTCCCCCATTAATGTCCACTTCTTCTCTACCTAATCTTTCGGTCAATTGGTCCCAAAAGAACTCAACTTTATCACTAACCCAACAACCCTCACATGCATTCACCCTTCCCTTTGTCTCCATCTTCTTTCACTGTGTGTAGTGTGTGTTCTTGATCAGCTAACACAACCATGGTGATCAAGCCCTTTTTGGGCCAGTGATCTTTGATAAAGACAGAAACTAGATCTAGTATGGGTTTTGATGATTGTAATGATCAAGAAATCTTTTGACACAATACACCACTTATATAAACAAAATATATGTTACACAACCAGTATCAAGAAGCGTAAAAAACACAGAAGTCCATAGAAAGTTGGGTAATAATAACCACCAGGATATAACTAACTTGATACTATACTATAGATTAAGGAAGAAGAGGGTGCTTAATTTTTTTTCACCTGTTAATGGCGACTCTTAACTTGTTTCGAGTCTTCTTGATGCTTTCAAAGATACCACATGTTTATATCCGCGTTTGGATTTGGATCCCCAGAAAAGTCGACTCCTCCTAGAGTGAACGGCGACTGTGAAACAAATCTGAAATCCAGGTTATTTTCGTTCGTATTCAGGTTGTTTGCATCAAAACCAGAATTGTATGGTGTTTTGTTGTCAAACTGGAATCCTGGTGGCAAGAATGTAGATTGATTGGAAGGAATGTTGGTTTCGACACCGTGTCCAAAAAAGTCATCGAGTTGGATGGGAAACTTTTGCTTCTGGTTCTGGTGGTCACCGATGACATCAAGATTCCCGGAGTTGAGACTTCTGTTGGTCTGTTGATGTTTAGTATCGTAGAATGACATGAGGTCAGATATCGCTCTTTGACCATCTCCAGGAAGTCCAAGTTGTGAATTCAAACCACCGTAGGAGGGTGCACTGTCTTGGTTGACAGGCGGAGCCGTGGTGATCTTGGGCTGAGCAAAGGCAGGGATAGTGAAAACAGGTTCTTTCTGGATGTGGTTGTTCATTTGGAAGTTTAGCGTTCCGCCACGAGAAGGATTATGATTCGGATTAGGTGTAGAGCGATAAGGACAACTCATCTGGTGATTGTTTCTTGAAAATCTGTCTTGAAATCCAACACGGATGTCACTGTAAGGGCATTGAGGAAATTCACATGTGAATATCTTCTGTTCCATCATAGCAGGCTGCTGTTCATCAGATGGTTGCTTCCGTTTCTGAACGAAATTATCCGGGCTCGGGACGTCAATGAGCTCACCCTTGACTTGAGCCAGTTGAGGGACCATGAGCCTATCAGCTGGACCCATGAGCCCCATACTGTAAAGATTATTCACATCACGAGGTTGCGGCTTGCACTCTTCTAATTCAACGGTTTGATCATCTTCCACACCGTCCACATCATAATCGCTGGTATCGCTAATGAGATACGACCCGGTTCCACCAGCTGATGATATCGGAGGACAGCTGTCAGGATATAGTTTTCGTGATAATGTCTCCTCTTGGTTAATGATAGCAAGCCATGTGGCACTCTCTTTAGCGGTCATCTTGTCTTGCAAGCATTTTGACTGCCGAACAAGCTTGCGAATTTTGGCAATATCGGGAGACATGTGCTTGATAACAGCCGTCAAAACACCAACTTTCCACGCTTTTTTTAGATCATGCGGTTTCTTGTATGGTGGTGTGCCATGTTCTTTCGGCAGGCCAAGTTGGGACCACCATTCCTCATCTCCGGTGGGCCACCACGGCGGCGCAACACCCTTCTCCAATGGAAACCTCCTCTGTGGAGGGTCACAATGCTGCATCAGAGCAGACAAAAGGGAACCGAGTGTGGTGTCTTGAAGCTCTTGCAACGTGTGAGGAGTGGAAACCACAGCACAATTATCCTCGTTTCTCCCGGAAATCGAATGATCGGCCTGGTATTTCGCGATTGCTGCCGGCCCGTTTCTATCAAACCGAACTTTTTCCTTCCACCATGCACGAAGATTATCAGACGCTCCGCTAACGGGTTTCCCATTCTCCGGAATAATTCCGTAAACAAACCCTTGAGCTTTACAAACTTCCATCATCTTAAGCATGTATTTCAGGATACCATCTTGAGCCCGAGACATTTTCTTTCGCCTTGCTTGTTCTTGAGACTGGCGTTGTTTTGCATTATCGACCTCTTTTCCTTTGTTTTGATCTTTAAGACGCCTTAAAAGCATTCGGTCTCTCCACATCCTCCTTTCTAACTCATCAACATCCATTTCTTCATCACTATAATCTTCCTCCCCAGGTGCCTCTTGTTCGGTTTCATGTGGCCGCTCCCCCTCACATTGAGAGGCCGAAAGGAAATCAAGATTTCCATAGAAACCCATTTCTTCAAAGATCCCCATGGATCACAGAAACCCGAATCAAGAAAATATCGTAATTCAACTATACACAAGATTGTATACGAGTCCTGAATATCAGGTGTCAATCAGAAATTCTCCTGAGGAAGAAATAAAAAGTCAACTTAGAAATTGCACTATTTATCTAACAAAACAAGACTAATGGTAATAGAAACCATATAAAAGAAATCTTGATTCTTGACAAAAGAGTAACCTGTAATGATTTCTACAACAATCCCTACTACTATACGAAGATACAGATAAAAGATCAAACAAACTTGGTAAATCCCACACAGAGATGAGGTCTGGGGGCAGGATGTACGCAAATCTTTCTACTGCCCCCAGATCTGAAAAAACCCACAGGTTATTTGTATTCCTCGGAAACCCCCGCCCACATAGAGAGGTTGTTACCCTGACGACCCTGACTTGCAAGTACAAAGAGTAACAAATAAAATACCAAAATCAAACAAACTCAGTAAATCCCACACAGAGGTAGGGTATGGGGGCACGATGTACGCAAAATCTTTCTACTGCCTGAAGGGGTAGAGCAGGTTGTTTTGTTGAAGACCCTGGCTTGCAAGTACAAAGAGAAATATATAGACTCGAGCTATTACTTCCTATTGAGGGGGAACTCTAGAACCGAATGAAGCCATTTAAGGTAACATAAGCTCAAAGATAACAAAAACTATAGATGACAAATAAGGCAAATTCAACCCCACTAATCTTTCGGCAGAAAATGTTCATCCTTTCTCTTTGAAAACCGAAGATGATCAAAAGAACATGATAATAGACTATGCTTAATTACTTATCAATAATATACTACTTTCTTTCCATGAACATTAGATCAATTTCCATCTTCAAGTGGTCCATGAAAATAGCCAAGTTCTATCATCTTTCACTAATTTCTAAGTTGGAATGACCTATTTGCTACAAGATTCTTTATATTTATAGTTCTTATAGAGATTTAAAGACACTTGAAAAGAACACCCCCCCCCCACACACACACACTCACACACATATATATATATATACATATGTATGTATACATATACAGAGGAGAAGAAGAAGGCAACAGCAGGAAAAGGGAAATCTCAAACAAGATCCACTGATTGAATGTTTTACCCCAATTAATTTTCTAAACTTCCTTAAATTATGATCTACAACTTTGTTGCTCTGACTTTTTTCTAAGATGAAACAAAGCAAATAGAAAAGATTTACTCTATAGATGTCATAGATCTCATCCAAAAAGAAGAAAAACACAAATCTATCACAACAAAACACCATCTAAATTCAGAAAACTTTTCGATACCAAAACCAAAATCACTCCATGTGCTTCAAATCATCATCATCATCATAAAGTGGGGGAGGGGTGTTATTCGATTAACAACTAAACTAGAAAAACAACTATCGTCTAAACAAATTCAAACAACCCACATCGAAATTCATACAGATCCAACCATCAGAAACAAGAACCCAGATCAATTTCATGAAAAAACTGTAAAAGAAGCAGAACCCATCAAAAAGATTTGCCTTTCATCAAGAACTTGGATACAATATTGTTCAGATAACAGAAGAAATCAAGAAAAGAGAGCAGAAAGACGAAGAACGAACGAACGAACTCACCAACTTTTTGCTTTAAGACTTCGCTCAAGCTTCCGCCATCTGAAGAAAAGAAAAAAGAAAGTCGTCTGCGGTGGCTGAGAGAGAAAGAGAGAGAGAGAGAGAGAAAGGAGGAGGAAAACGCAAATGAATGTGACAAACAAAGAGGTTGATTCAATAGAAAGGGGATCGGGTGGAAGTAATGGGTATCGTATTTCTACGGTGATGGCAAGTAAACGTATGATCGTCTTTCTACTTTTGGAAATAAGCAGACAAATATCTTCAAATTTTATATACCAAAACAAGTGTATTTTCCCACCCTTAAAATAGCAAAAAACTCATTTTTATTACTTTTAATAATCTATAAATATAATTATTTCAATATATAAAAATTTTAATAATATATAAAAAAAAACACTAATAAATCTGTAATTTTACGTAAAGTTCAAGATAATAACCAAGATTCTTGTATAAGAATTCCAATAATGTGAGATTCTTATAAGAATTTACGTTTTTTACTTCTAAGAATCTCTCGGTGGATATGCTCTTATGCTATTAATGTGTATTTTAGATATTTGAGTATTTGTAAAATAACTTTTCGTAAACTGTATCGAGTCATCTCGTTTTTCTGATGGACCTTTCAAGTTAGTTTTCGAGCACTCCAATTAATCTCATGGAGTTTTGAAGTTAATAGCCGAACAAACCTTCAACGCTTATAACAGACTCTAAGTGGTGGTCAGTTACCACTTAGAGCAAACCTGATGTCATATCAGGTGAGTTACCCTCCAGGGATCAAGTCACATCACGTCATCTTCTCGGGAGTACAACGTTTTCATTTTGATAGAATTCTTATTAGACTTTACTTGTTTTCTTGTTAATGACCGTTACAATTTACTTGTGATTTTCAGTCTTGTCGTGTTAGAAGACAGTTTAAGTATTCGATTTTTCTTGATATTATATTTTTTTAATAGAGAAATGAACGTTTTTTTATTAGAGGTTATCTTGGAGAAAAAAAAAATATATTCTTTTATTATAGCTTTTAATTCAAGTTGCCCATTTGTAATTATTAACGTTAAGTGTGGTTCACGAACTTTTGTTTTGTACCTCGATATTTCATTCGTCAGATGACTTTATTAGAGTATACGTCAAATCATATACTGTACTTTAAAAACCAATCAGAATAGCACTAAATTTATCATAGTTGATCGTCATAACTACTAAATTCGTAAGAAAATCATATATAATAATTAAACTATAAAATTAAAAAAATTGAAAGGCGGCTTGAGCAGGACAACCGAGTTCTGGTCATACGTATTATTATAGTAATTATGTCTTCTACGTATCTTTGTATTTTGAGATACGTAAAAGGATTTGTCTTTGATTATTATAACTAATATTTAAATGAAGCGGTCTTTAAGTATGTTGTAAGTCGGTCTTTAACCTTGTTCGATCCTTCCCATGTCGAAAATTTAAGGCATCTTATGGGCCGTTTACTTAAATGCTTACCCGGTAAGTGTTTATCGATATGATTCAACATTATAATTTATTTTGATACGTAAGATTTTAGTACATCAAAACATATCGAATGCAACAAGTTATTGGGTAAGTGCTTATCTAGATAAGAGTCACCATCCTTACTTACCGGGTAAGACTCTCTATCCTTTTCATTGCTTTTATCCGGTAAGATTCTTGACCCTTTTCATGTTCATCCAATAAGGAAATTTATCCAGTAAGCACTTAACAAGTAAGTGTTTAGTGAACGGCCCCTTAGAAGCCAAAGGAAAAAAAAAACCCAAAATCAAATACTGTGGTAATGGCAAGTGAAACAAGACCAGTCAAAATAGTGCATGAACGTTATCCGATGGCTTTAAACATTTTAGGGCAATCTTTGTCCTAGGTAGGCCATTTCTTTGAATGGTCTTAACTTACTCCTTGATTGGTGGGTCTACCGTGTGTTTTTATTTGTCCTGTTAAGTCAAGAACAATAGTTCATCGACTACTTTGTTCGGAATTATCAACCAATAATTAGATGTCTGACTTTAAGTGGTTATTACAGCTTCAAAAATTGGAACAGATCGATATAAGTTATATGCACGGTACTATGAGTTTATGATTTCACTTTACTTTATTGTGTATCGGTTAGTGAAGGTGTGAAACATATTACTACTGTTGGTGTTCAGACATGGTATTTATGACATTACAATAGTAAAAACGGAACATTACAGTTTCTTACGTTATCGATTAAACGTTAACAAAATAAGAGAGTGTGTGTGTGTGTATATATATATATATATATATATATATATATATATATATATTATTGTGTGTCTGCAAGAAAATGACAATTCCATTGGTGGAGAACACAAAAAATGTGATGACTCTGGGCTATCTGCAAAACAGGTGGTCGTCCTAGGATTAGTCGGCTTGCTTAGCGGGTTGGATATCCAGGTTAATAAAAAAAAACTGTAAATTTTTGTGTTCTTTAAAAAAACTTTATCAAAATTGAACGTACTTTATTTTGGTTCTTATTTTTGGATACATACTTTCAAAAATACTATTTTAGGATACATACTTTCAAAAATACTATTTTAGGAAACATATCATGTTTTTAATGTAATAAAAGAATGAGTCGTATTCATATATGAGAACAATAACCAAATAAGAAAATAAAAGAATAAATATGGATCACATAATTTATTAAATAATACCTTAAGTAAATAATTCCAAAAATAAAATAAATAAGGGAATAAAAGTAATTTATTTATATAAAAATCATTTAAGGCATTAATTTAAGATTATATTTTTACCATATTTATGATTTTAATATGATTTAATTTTTTATTTAAAAATTTATTTTCTTTTTAATACATTAAAATAATTCATATAGGTAATTTATTTTTATTTAAGATAATATTTAAAAAAATTATAATTTTCGTTAAAATCATATGTGATTCATAATCAATTTTTTTTTATTTTTTAATAGCATGTGACTTTAAGCGTGAAAATAATGATTCAAATTAAATATTGAAAAAACAATGAAAACATAATCAAATATTATGTGTAGCAGAACTTGTTTTATATGTATACGATCACATATACTTCAAAACATAATTTATAATTTACAGATTTCACATGTAATGTTGTACATAACTTACATTTATTTTCCACTTAAATTTACTATGAACAATATCACTTATGATATTTTGACGAAAATTAGTTATTCTTTTTTGAAGAAAAAACGTCGATTAATTATGAATTTCACATGTGATTTATGATTAAAAATATAAAAAATATATTAAATATAGTTCAAAAAAAATCTTAAATGAAAAACTAAATCACGCTTATTTAAAATGTCATAAAATAAAATAAATTAATTAATTAAAAACTAATCATGCTTAAATCACATAAATTATTTAAAAAAAATCATAAATAAATACCCTAATTAAATACACTAAATGATTTTGATATAAATAAATAAATTTCCATATATAATTCATATGCAACAAATCTTGGACGATTTTAAAGAAGTTTTATTTAATAAATGCTTTAAATAAATAAGTTGCCGAAAATGATCCTCTTATCTAGTTACCATTCTCATATGAACCTCCCTCGTAAGGAAATATACCGTAACCTCGTAAACAAAAAGGAAACACATTATAACTTTATAAAGAAAATAACCATTCTTAAAAGTTATTAAACTTTACTGTTTTCATGAGTTTACCGTCATAAACATCAAATCTGATCTTTTATAAACATATCTTCTAATACAGGAATCAACACGAATTACATTACATTTTAATACAAATTGCTTTTTCAGTAGCTTTTTACAGTTACGAATGATCAAGTGAAAGTACAAATCCAACTGTTGAAAATCTACGTCAATCTTTTTAAACTTATACAAACCAATTTTAAGTAATCAAACATATGTTACATGTTACAACAAGGGATATGACATTTAACGGAAGTTGCAACATTTTTAAACTTATAGCTTAATGAAAACTTTATGGTTCAATTAATTGCAACACTCTAAAACTTAAGGGCCGTTTACCAAACTTACCAAACACTTATCCGGGTAAGCGTTTACCAAATAACATTACATCACCGGATGAATATGGTAAGAACCAAAAATCTTATCCGGTAAGAACGAAACAATGACCAAGAGTCTTACCCGGTAAGTGAGGGTTGACGACTTTCACCATGGTAAGCGCTTACCTTGTAAATTGTTGCATACTATGTCGTTTTTGGTGAACTAAAATCTTAACAGGTAAGTAAATAATGTGTTAAGTTTTACCGGTAAATACTTACTGAATAAGTATTTGGTAAACGGCCCCTTAAATAATTTTAATATAAAAAAAAGGAGCAAGATTTTATTTTGATTTAGTTTAATTAAAAATGTAAAGTCAAATACATGCACCACCTCATCTCACATTTCTCCCAGTAATATTATTAATAATTCAAAAAGGGGGATGTATACAATCATTTGTAAACACCAACAAATAATCTAATATTTTGACTTTTATATTTCTAAATCTCAATTAAACATGTTTTCTTAGCAATTTTGAGTTTGTTGTCGGACAAGATTTATGAAGGGTTATTATGCCATGTGTATGTGTATGGTATGAAGAATAAAATAGAAAATAATAACCACAAGAGTAATGTTTGATTGGTTTAAGCTTGACTTTCAAAATCAATGGTGGTGTCTGATTGATTTAAGTTTGGCTTCAAAAATCAAAAGTATCAGGAGATCATAGGTTCAAATACAATGAGAAATAAAAATCTTCTTGTACCACATAGTTTCAAATGCGGTGACTCCGGGCTATCTGCAAAACAAGTGATCGTCATGGGATTAGTCGGTTCACATAGCGTGTTGGATATACAGGCTAATAAAAAAAATAGACAATAAGATAATAAAAATTTGTTTTTGATAGTAATAATAAAATTGGGATATAACTGATTAATACAATGTAATTGTCTCGTTATAATAGGTGAAACAAAAGTCGTAGATGAGTTAAATAAATAGGTATGTTAAAATAAAAAAATTCACAATTCGTTTATCTGTCTATTTTATCTTGTCATTCTAGTCGTGTATACCCTCAGTGAACCTGTCGACAGTAGTGTCTGTATTTTATTTTACTATCTTTGGCGGTGTAAGTATTGTGGTTCTTTTGTGATACCGTCCAATAGCTATGTCACGAATGGAGAAGATCGAGAGTCATGAGTAGCTACGATATATTTGCTAGAACGCCAAATTAGAAGTGATAAGCGTTGAAGCATATCACATATGCTGCATTTGGGAAACCAAGCAACTTAGCTGGGTAACGACTAGTTGGCGGCAAGGAAAGTAAGATGACGATCTAAAAACCTAAATCCATCAGTGCCACCAACGACATATTTTCAGATCCACCACTGTCTAATTGTCATTGATTAAATGTGATAGATCTTTTTCCGTAAAGGAATTAATGTAACCCATTTTAGGATCCCCCGCATGCTTAAATATATAGTTTTCGGTTTTGGTACATGTTACGGTGTAGAAAACGTAACATAAAATTTCATTCGTAAGCTAAAGAAAACGTCATCAAAACTATGTTCGCAACATACTTCATACATAACTTTATCAGACATTTAAAAAAAAAGTATATTTTCATCGTGGACATTTATTTTATAGTAAACTCTAATTTTTGTCCCTAAGGTTTAATGAAAAGTCTGAAAATGGAACCTGAACTTTGATAATTCTAAAAGCATCATTGTGATTCTCATTTTGCTCAGAAAGTAGTCCCTAGTCGCTAACTCCGTTAAACAATATTGTGAAGTAGGGGACAATTTAGTCTTTTTACCTATTATTTTGTCTTTTTTTTTGTTTATTCTTATCTAATAATTATGCTTTTCAATTAAAAAGTAACTAGAAGAGTATTCGCGCAATGCAGCGAGACACATTTCGATTTTAATGTTCTATTTTATTATTTGTCTCTGTCGATTTATAATACGATTTTATGTATTTTTAAAAAAACAGTAAATATTTTATTTTTGAATAAAATATAAATTTGAAAATATCATAAAA